TCTGGTGACAGGCGTGAGTGTTTTACGTTTTTTTATTTTATAACCAGACGAAAACACTACCTATATCAATACCATTTTTATTCAAAATTGGCCTTTATAAAATACCAGTAACTTTATAAAGTAAAAGTAAAAAGTTTATAAAGTACCATCTGGATGCTTGGCGGTCCACCACTGTACGTTTCAGAAGGAGTTTTCTTTCGCCTGCGACCTTTCTGTGGAATAGTTTACCACCGGCGATTTTTCCGGACCGATACGACCTTCAAGGCCTTCAAGAAAAAGAGCTTACTCCTTTCTAAAGGGCCGGCAACGCACCTGCAACTCCCCTGGTATTGCGGTTGACCATGGGCTGCGGTAGTCACTTAACATCAGGTGAACCGTATGCTCATTTGCCTCCTATTCTATAAAAAAAAATCAAGAAGTTTACGCCATCATTTCAAAAAGTTCCTACAAGCATCATCATCATCATCATTACAGCTTTTCACAAGTCCACTGCTGAACATAGGCCTCCCCCAAGTAATGCCACAAAGCACGGTCCTGAGCCACCTGCATCCATCGACTTCCTGCATGTCTTACCAGGTCGTCACTCCATCTAGTGGTGGGTCGCCCTACACTACGCCTACCGGTACGAGGCTGCCACTCGAGAACCTTTCTTCCCCATCGGTTATCGGTTCTTCGAGCTATATGGCCGGCCCATTGCCACTTCAGCTTACTAATCCGTTGGGCTATGTCGGTCACTCTGGTTTTACTGCGGATATCCTCATTTTTGAGTCTATCACGCAGTGAAACTCCGAGCATAGCCCTCTCCATAGCTCGCTGAGCGACCTTGAGCGTCCTCATACGGCCAGCGGTGAAGGACCACGTCTCAGATCCGTAAGTCATCACTGGCAACACGCACTGGTTATACACCTTAGTATTTCAGAGATTGCGGTATACCTGACGAGAAGATGTGTTGTAATTTCCCGAACGCTGCCGAGCCTGAGTTGTCCTACAAGCGTGCAAGCACGGAATACGCTAGTGGACTATTTTTTCCAATAGTTACAATTTAACCTTATAAATATACCTACATACCCAAAATAGTATTTATTAATGCATCAATTGATGATTTAATAATATATATTGACACACAAACTAATAAGCTTACAATTGAAAGTATACTTACTTGTATTTGTAAAGACGTAATAAAATCAATAAAAACTACCATAAGACCATTGTCAAAATAATTACTATTTTATACTATTATTTATTCTGTGCTTTTACCATAAAATTTGGGGAACGGTTTTCAGGACCGGTTTTTAGCCAGTCTTTGTTGTTTAGAGTACCTATTTATTCGAAATTATATTTATTTGTGTATTAAGCGATGTAACCTTCTTATCATAAGGCCCGGTTTACATTTTTAGAAGTGACAAGTGCGAGTGGCAAGTGCGAAGTGATAAGTGCGTATTTTGTTCCCACTATACACTTGAGATGTGATAAGTGCGAGTGGCAAGTACAACTGACAAATGACAACTGCTTAGTGCTTTCAGCATCATTTTACACTTTATCACTTATCACTAACTGTACACACGCACGAAACACTTATCATTTGTCTATTATTAAATTCTCTTCTTTCGTTTAAGGTTATTTGCCACCGCCCTTAAATGAACATTTTGCTATCCTACCTTCCCCCATTTTCCCGGTCAAATATTAATACATCTCTTGAAGTTCATTATTATATTAGGGCATAGAATATTTACCATATTTAAGCTTTCAAGCATATGCTTGGCAAAAAAAGAATAATAAACTAGCGAAACTAATATTGATTTCGCCAGTTTATTTTGCCTTTTTGTTGTTTCGCATGGTCATAGGCCATAGACACTATCACAATAATTAAAATGTGGTAAAACTAACAACTCAACTACCCTTTTTTGTAATGCCTCATTATATAAAAATCAGCAGGTATTTTTATATTAACATGCTGATTAAATATTGGTTGTGTTTCGAATGTAAGTCCAAGGTTATTAGCATAATCGATTCTAAGTAACTTGTTGATTTGATTTGTATTTCCCGATTTTTATTTACTTAATTTTTTATATAGTGTTTTACTAACACCATATAATTTGATTTGAGTTAGACCATTTTTGCCGCCGTTTTTAACTGGATTTATGCATTTTCTCAAACGTCACCACTTTACTACCATAAGAAAGATTTTTTTAATTTTTTTTAAATGATGTTGCTCTATCAACAAAAAGTTGATAGAGCAACATCAGAGTACCGTGAGCAATTTTACGTACCTAAATTACTATTGTACAGATCTGAAACAACAATTTGTATACCATAATAAATTTTTTAAATTATCTAAAAACTTGTTTCGTGCAGAATATGAATTCACGGTCCACAATGCATTGCTCACTTGCTTCATTATTTCAAAACCAGTTTCATTATAAGAAACTTTGTTTTTCCCGCGAGACAATTACTTATAAAAAGTAACAAGTATTACTGAGATATTATAATATATTTACATGATTGAGTTAGTAACTATTAGGCGCCCAATTTTATCTTGAGTTCTTATTATAGTTCATGTGATGCTTATAATGCAATTATATGGAAGATATTTCAGTATTGAGCCAATGTGGATAGTCGTGTTATACTAGCCCTAGAAAGCAATATGAAACCTAATCCTAATGTTGGATTTGAGTGGTAATTGAATGTAGGACTAACTCAGTAGTATGCAACTGAAAATAGGACTAGCAAGTACGTCAATCAGTCCGTCTAGTGGTATGTTTTTGTTTTTTATTTACAATACGAGTATATCTGTACTTGTATAGTCTCGCCTCCGCCGCTGCTTTAAACGTGTGATAGCAGTGTAAGAGTGTCTATTACTGATCTAAGTGTGATCAGAGTGTCCACCAGAGTATCGTAGGAAGCGACTATGTGAAAGACTAGAAATATCTCGTCTTGTATATACGGATGTTAATTCCCGGATCGGCGATGGGGAGCAGCATTACAGATACGAGACGTCTGGAACTGCGATACCAAATCTATCTGGGAAGCATGGTGGCTATTTCATTTATAAATCTGATGTGACAAACGAACCCATAGTCTACCTGTTGGTAAGTAGCTAATGTAGCCAAAAGACAGCTGCAACCAGCTTTAAATTAAACGTGATAGAGCCATGCTGCAAATATATTAGTAGTATAGTTGTAGCACGAACGGGTCGACTTAACCGGAGAAGGAACATGCTCTTATAGAATACCATCGTAAAATAGCAGCTCAACCCTGCTGTGTTTTGCATGGTAAGTGTAGAGAACTTAAATTTTACTGGAAACGACGCATTCCGTCTTAGTCCTCACGGGTGACAGGGAATCTGCATTCAGATTCGTAATCGAGAATAGATGTAGATGTCTATGGGTCACAGCAACAACACAGGTGGACTGTGTGCTCGTTTGTCACTCTTATCTTATTTAAAAAAAGGTAAGATACGCGTCTTCGCCACTGAGAACTAAGATGGAATGCCTCGCAGCCTGTAATTAAACTAGTTCTCTATTCCCTTCAAACTGGATCACAGTCGTGAAAGCTATTTGACGGCAGAATTAAGGAATATAATATGTACTTACGTTTACGAACGTCCTCACTTGGACGAAGGCATTCTCAATTTTGCTTTCGGCGACGTAATTCGACATGGAAGGATAAACTTTAAGCAATTGCTTACATACAATATTTTTAATGTAAATTTTTTGAAATTTACTTATTTCTACAACAATTAACAATAAAACAGTTAAAAAAAGCTAAAACTAGTTTTCTGTCTAGGAATCCGTCTGGGTCTACTATCACATCTACCTCTTAGATATTTCTGCTGCCAACATAGAGATTGTACTGCTGTGTACTGAGTTGTGTACTGAGCTAGTATAAATATAAACTTTGAGACGTTCTATCATAGTCCTCAAGATTGAGAATGCACCTGTAGCCTCCTCCAGAACACAGCAGTGCAGAAACTATTACAATATGATGCAGAAATAGGGAGGAGTTTCAGGTGGGACACAACCGGACAAAATGCCAGACATAAAAGCACATAGTCCACCCAGTCATTTCTTATGAGATGCAGATGCCGTGCTCATATGAAATGCTTATTTATACTAAAGCAATCTTTCAATTATTAATACCCATTTAAAAGCTTTTGTTTGATTATTATAAGGCATTTCTTGACTACAATCTCACCTGGTGGTAAGTGGTGATGATGCCCTAGATGTTATTTCGCACTGTCTTGATAGTGATAGTAATAGACCGTAACATAGTTACATAGTCTGGTACATAACATAGTTATGTATCATATTGTGAGTTCGATAGAATCCGATTGCAGTGGACCCCAGGTAATTCGGCTCCTGGATAATCCGTCCCCCCTTGTAATCCGACATTTAACTAGTAGGTAGATTCGAGCCGCGCTATGAATCTACCATGGGGTGAGGTGTGCTTCGCGAATACGTGGACAAGCAGGTTGTAATTAGTTTGCGCTACCACTAATATAGCTTGACGCTTACAGTCTCAGTTCAAATGTGACTCTGGTAGCGGCCTAGCGGGCATTCATTTTATGGTATTCGTTGTACATCACATGAAATTTTTATTTTTTATTATTTTATATTTGATATGTTATTTCAAAAAGTTTCTGACTGGGGTTGTGGCAGTACTCTATAGAAATAATGATATTGATTCCAAACTAATTTTATTTGACGTTTAATTGCAAAAAAATTTCTTAATAATTTCCATTAGGTACAAATGATTCTGCAATTTTTTAAACAAGATAATAATCGTAATTAACTGGAAATTTAATAGTGAAGGTAGACTTATTTTTACACATATTTTTATTATTATAGTGACATCACTAGTTCACTTTGCCGGTATAATATGGTGTGATACTTATCCTTAATCCATTTAACAACACCTTTACGGATCGCAATAAGTTAGAGATAATCTCATATGTTCGCTACGAGGACAAAATAATAAAATATTTAATTATATTTCCACAGCAATGCTAGTACTGATCCATTACCTATGCAGTCTACATCTACGTTAAACATTTCGGAAAAGGAAGTTGATGGCCAAGAAGAATATAATCCCTTCGAACATCGGCATGTTACACACCCTACATCGTGAGTATTGTTATTTTAAATAAAAACAACATATTTATAAAAAAGTAATAATTTTTATTAATACGAAGTCGGTGCTTATCTATCACATTACTATTCCATCTGATGGCAAAAAATGATTTAGCCGAATATGATAAAGCGTAGTGACTTAGTTTTATAAAAGCCTATTTGCTTTTGCCTTGCAGGCGCACTGTAATATAATAATAATAATATCCTCCAGACCCAATTTCGGTCACGGCGTCCTGCCTCAACGGAGGCTAACCATCGGCGCAAGACAGGATTATAGTGCCCAAGTGTATGCGTAAGCACAGGTGCACTCTCTATTCCCTCACTCTCATAGTAACACCGATGGGACGGTAAACCGACACGACCGGAGAGAGGTCAGATGCAAGACCAACGGCTTTACGTGTATTCCGAGGTTCGGGGGTGAGACACCGCCAATTTGCTGACTCCGGGCAGCTACTGAGAATTTCTTGACAGAAAAATTCAATAATTTTTTTGTCCCGACCGGGATTCGAACGCAGGACCTCATGATCAGCAGTCGCACTACTACAACCACTAGACCAACGAAGAAGTCTGTAAGTTAAGATTCACATGTTAGCGCGACAAATAAACTTAAAGTCCACCTGAAGATGAGCTATTACTGCAACCTTCAGATACATGTGTCAAAATCCAAACAAAAACGATACTGATGCATGGGTGCTTTTAAGGAGTAATTTGAAGTCTTTTTAAATTGAAATAAGATGGTGACAAAGGAGCACATGTGTGTACATGTGTACCATGACAGGCACACATACTTCCTGACGTATAGCTACATTTCTATATTCGGTTAAATCAAAATATAGGTACGCTGTCATTGAACTGGCCTGAGAATTAAGATGGTCTTGGATGGATGGTCGTGGATGGTCTCTTTACAAATAATAACTCCAGTTCTCTTAGTTAACCGTATAACTAATGCTCCTGAATTACCTGCTGTGTCAGTCTAGTATTCTGTGAGCGTGTCTCTTCCCAAGCGACGTTCCCAACGAGCACGTAATTCACTTGATGGTAAGTGGATGCTATGGCTCATAGACATCTAAATCAATCCTCAAAATGCAGATGCGTTGTCAGCTCTGAAGACTAAGATAGAAAGACTCGTTTTCCGTAAAAAAGGTCTCCGGTTTTGTGCACTAACCATACGAAACACAGAAGCTATAAGTTGCTATTTAACGCTGGTATTCTCTGAGACCATGGTTCTACACCGGTCGAGCCACATATTCGTCATACAACCATAATATGGCTGCATCGTGGCTGCATCACGTAATATACCTATAAAAGTATAAATCATTCGTGATCAGCGACTTAGTTTACAACCACCAGACTAACGGGGCTGTCATACCATACTCATTTACTTAGTAGGAGGTTCGTAAAAGTTCGTTACATGGTTGGGTATTATACGTCTAATGTTAACGAGATGGTTATACCACCATCGATCGGAAGCCATATTTTTCTGGCATTGCTCAAAGACGTTTCTTACGACACCCGCGAAAAGATTATGGGGTGCTGGATTCTCTTAAACCACCACCATACGACAAATAAAGTTGTGTACCACGTTAGTGCGACACGTCTTGCGTCTGCGATGAGTGAGAAAATAACAATATGAGACGAATGGGTGTCTCTCTTGTGCGTCAGACATTCGCGACAAGCGGAGGACATAGTACTTGTTCGCGCGTCTTACGTGGTAATCAAATCGTGTCAATTTTTCCGCGATGCAAAACATAAACACGAAGTCTTTTAGGAGCGAAATAATGTCACGGTCTGCAATATGGTCTAAGCATGAAAATTATAAGCATAATGTTACGAGCTTAGGGTTCGTGACAATAAAAACTGCCGATAGAATTACCAAAATTAACACTTTAATTCACTTTATGCTAATTAAAACTTAAAAGACACTAATAATTAATCACACTGATTCACTTTATTTCGCTCCGAAGCTTCGCTTGTCTCGCCAAATTCAATACTGCCCCGATAGCGGGTTGCGGCGGCTTTAAATACACCTTTTACACCGAAACATCCAGAATATTCCCGTAGATACGGGCGCCGACCGACCAGACGCAGAAAGTTCGAGTGTCTAGAATCATCTATAAAGCTTAATTATTCTGTTCGATACTAGATGGCGCTGTTGGTCGAAATTCAAGATTGACATTTTCTAGGAAGCCCTCCTCGCTCTGGTCCCCGACACTAGATGGCGCTAGTGCCAGGTGCCTGACGTCAACTTAGGCGCGCAACAATAATATTATATTTCGCAAAACGTTTTGTGGGTATTGACGTTTTTCATTAAACATTCTACCGACATTCACTAAACTGATGCCTGTTTTAGTTTAAATCATGAACTCCTGTTTTAATTTGAATTATATCTTGTGCAAAAAAAACTACTGCCTTCTAGACCCGAAAGTGCCAATTTAGAAAACCTCATTTTTTAGACCGCGCAAAAATAGCATGAAGAAACCACCTGTCATGCAGCCGCCTCAATGTGGCATATTACAGCGGCAAGGTACAGCGTCTTCATTCCTCCCGACTCCACAGGTCTCTTCTGCTCCCCTCAGTTGATCTATCATGGCCTACGCGTAAAACATCTACTACATGCCACACTCATAATCAACTTATGTTATTATTTACAGAACTTTGGGTTCATTTTTCCACCTGCTGAAATCATCTCTAGGGTCAGGATTGCTTGCGATGCCCGCTGCTTTCAAACACACTGGCCTTATTCCCGGATGTTTCGGTACGGTTCTAGTCGGCCTGATTGCCACTCACTGCGTTCATATTTTCGTAAGAGTTGTTTTTATTAATTATAAAAATGTACAAAACTAAATTTTTGTTAGTATGATTAATTAAAGTCAATCACGTTCATATTATTTAGCTACTGCTGGGTGCAAACCTTGCCTGGGAAGTATTGCTGTATCTTTTTTTTATAGAATAAGGGTGACAAAAGAGTACATAGCCCAACTGATGGTAGGTGGATGATGTGGCCCATAGAAATCTTCATTTATCCTCGCTTAAGAATCAAAATGCAGATGCGTTGTCACCCCTGAGGAATAAGATGGAAAGCTTCGTTTCCAGTAAAAAAGGTTCTCTGGATATCTACACTCACCATACGAAACACAGTAATATTAAGCTGCTATTTTACGCGGGTGTTCTGTGAGAGCATGGTCCTTCCCCGGTCGAGCTGACCCATTGTGCTACAACATAATATAGCTGCAGCGTGGCTCTACCACGTATGATATAATCTAGTGTAGAGGAGAAAATGATCATATTCTAAACACCTTAGGTGTTCGAAAAAATATAAAATGAATTTGATATATGTCTACGGCTATCTATAGATAAATATTAGTAATAGTAAAACCGTGTGGTAGTGGACAAAGAGACAAGAATTGGTCGCTCCATGTCATCTTGTGGGTGTTATAGAAAGTGACTATGGGAAGTATTGAAATAATTTATTTCTCGGATATTATGAATAAAGAAAAAACTTCCTTACGAATAAAGGTTAATTAAGTTCACGGAGAGCGTTTATATTTTAAACTATCGTTACTTAATCCATGATCAAAATAAGTGATTATTAATAAATACAGTTGTGTCAAAAATGTAATTGAAACAAAACAATGTGTTTATTTCTGTTCTAGGTGACCACATCCCGTGAAATTTGCAGACACTGTCGCGTTAGTTCATACACTTATACAGAAACATGTGAGAATGTGTTCAAGCATGGACCTAAGAAGTTACAAAAGTACACGCAATTTGTCAGGTATTTTATTCTTTGCTCAGCTAAAGACAAAGCCCGTATAACTAAGCAAGGTTAGGCAATTGGCGAGGAAACGCACTTAGCGTTCTTTGCAAAATAACTTGGAATATAAGACTGTAGGATTTTTTATGTAGTGGAGTCATAACAGCAGCATAGAGCGTAGAACAGCTACATTACTGGTATAGTTGTAGTACGAACAGGTCGGATCGACACTCCACGCTCTCACAGAATACCAGCGTAAAATAGTAGCTTAATGCTGCTGTGTTTCGTATGGTGAGTGTAGAGAACCGGAGATCCTCTTTACTGGAAACGACGCATTCCATCTTTAGTTCTCACGGGTGACAACATATCTACACTTTGATTCATAATCGAGGTCCTCTTACCTTCAGGTTGACTGTGTGTTCGTTTGTCTCACTTATCCTATAAAAAACAATAATATTAGTTTTAAATTCTCTTACATATACTTATATATAGATATTGTATATTGTTATATTATTTTAGTAAAATTAAATTAAAATATAATCAATTAAGACAAGCAATCAGACCCGGAAAATTATTTGTAGGCTATACAAGTACTGGTTCCGTGCGTTCCGTATTCGAACCCTCGGTCCTTAGCGCTGCAAGTTCAACAATAAAAAGTTCATTCACTGAATATCATAACAAACATAAAATAAAGTAGTTACTTTTGAAATCTCCTTTTTTTATAAAATTTTATATGAAAACCGCTACTGTTACAGTTTATGAAAACTTAATTGCTGAAACTAGAAGGCCTCGGTCTTCACCATACATCGTTATTATATAATACAATACAATACAATATATTTATTTGCATTCCATAATGTAGAAATTAATAATATTCAATTTTCACAATATGGACCCGGTCGGGTATAACAAATTAGAACAGAGGAGGACGCAAAATGTTTTATTTATTATTCATTATAATTATTATATTATTCATTATATTTATATTATTCCTTATTATTATACCATCATTATTCGTGTTATTCATTCATTTATTTATAGTTTTCATTATCATTATTACATTTGTCATTCAGGTATTCATATAAAGTATAATAACATTTATTGATTAGAAACACTTTTAATTGTCTTATAAAAATATGATCATTTGTTTCGTTTTTTAATGAGTTTGGTAGTTTATTAATTTATTATAGACAGTTATTGACATTATGTAAGGGCCTGAGAAAAAGAGCCTCATTTTAGAAGTTGGTAGCAATAATTTGTTTCCGTGTCTTAAACTATAAGCCGTAATTTTAGTTTCTCTTTTTACGTAGAAATTAGGGTATTTGCGCACAAATTTGCATAATTCCAATATATAAATACAAATTAAGGTAAGAAGTTTAAGTTTTTTAAAATGAGGACGACAACTTTCAGTTCTTTCTGTGTTACACAAAATGCGAATTAGTTTTTTCTGTAAGATGAACATGGTGGTTGCATCTGTACTGTTACCCCAAGGATAATACCGTACGTTAGCCACGCCTGTGCATAGGCATTGTAAGTAATTAACGCGGTCTGGAGGTCAGTTGTCTTTTTTATTTTACTTAAGACATATACAAAACTAGACAATTTGTTACGAATTTTCTGAATGTGAGATTTCCAGTTGATGTGACTATCCAAAACTGTGCCGAGTAGAGTGTGCTCATTTACTGTCTCGATTTTTGTATTTTTGTAAGAAAAATTAGCGGCGTTTTTTGATAGGGGTAAAAAGGCAAATTTTTTGTTTTTTTTGTAGTTTATTTCCAGGTTATGATCCTTCATCCATTGGTCGGTATTTTCAAATATTTTATATAATATATCATTTACGTTATTTACGTCACGACAAGGTGCTAAGATAGAGATATTGTCCGCAAACATAACACATGGGTTAACCATAGTTTCACTGAGATTGTTAATATATATTAAAAATAATAAACATCCCAATGCACTACCTTGGGGTATTGAAGCATTTACAATTATTTTATTTGATCTCACTTTTACTATTTTTTTTATTATCAAAGTATTCTATTTCTACATATAGTTCTCTATTTTGTAAGTATGATTTGAACCATTCTAAACTAATCCCACGAACACCTATACTATTTAATTTATTAAGTAATATATTATATTGTACCTTATCGTATGCTTTGGTCAAATCTAAGAGTATTCCTATTGCATATTCTTTATTGTTTAATATCTTTAGAATATCTTGAATATATTTATATACTGCTAGTATGGTAGATCGATTTTTACGGAAACCGTTCTGAAATTCACTAAAGATTTTATATTTTTTGCAGAAATTATACACACGTTCGAACATTGCTTTTTCAAAAACTTTTGAGATTGTAGGGAGTAAAGCTATGGGGCGATAATTATCGATATCGGTTTTTGAATTTTTCTTATGGATGGGTATTATTAATGCCTTTTTTTAACATGTTTGGGAAAATGCCTTCTGTCAGAGATTGGTTGATTAGTTCACAAAGTGGTAGAGCTAACGCATCTGCGCAATGTTTTATTAAGGTTGGTGGTAATTCGTCTATCCCGAAGCTCATTTTGTTTTTTAAATTTTGTATTATTTTATATACTTCCCTTGGAGTTACTGGGCTGAGATACATAGAGTCATTTGACGCTTTTTGTGCAGTTCGACCACGTGCTTGCGGGTTACAATTTTTGCCTAACGAAGCATAGAACCTATTAAAAGTATTTGCTATTAAAATCGGGTCTGAAGTTAAAGTACTGTTTATTTTTAGTTTAAGGTTATCTTTTTCTTTTATAATATTTTTATTTGTTGTGTGATATCAGAGGTGATATATATATATATATATATATATATATATATTTATATATATATATATATATATATATATATATATATATATATGTATATATAATATTTATATTTGTTGTGTGCTATCAGAGGTGTAATATCAGAGGTCAGGAGAATATGGTGGATGGGAAAGGGAGCTTAAAGGTTTTAGCTCTGCTGATTTTAAGAACGCTTGCTGTGCAGTATGTGGCCAGGAGTTGTCATTAAAAAGCAAGCAATTCTTGACAGTAACGGCCAGCAGCCACCGTGTTACAATTAAACTCAGTTTCAGGCACTGTTTGGCTTAGGCATCTGCTATGGCAAAGGCATAGGCTATGAATACTTGCACTTGTCGTATAGGATTAACTTCTTATCGCGTGTAACAGTTTGATTCAAAATTGCTTCGAATTAGCAATATGATGCAAACTCGGAACGCAGGACTCTCTGTGCGTCACACAGTTAGTGAGGTACCTTTGTAGAAAATATAAAATCTTTATTTGCTTCAAATACAAGTACATTTTAAGCAATGATAAATGTTTATATGTATTAGAGACACATGCACCAACATTCTCTTAAAATTGTGTTCTTATTTGTCAACCCTAGATACATGGATTAAAAATATATGTAACATAACTTTGTGCAATAATTAAAATCGAATGCAAAATTTTACAGGCATTTCGTCGACTATGCCATGGCTGGAGTATGTCTTGGAGGAACAAGTGTATACGTGATTTTCATCGCAAGTTCTCTTAAAGATGTAAGTACACACAAAAATATATTTAATGTATTCATAATTACGAGTATATGTTAGATTATTGCACTATATTTTTAGAGAATTTTTAATAAAGTTTATATATTTACTCTGAAAAGATTTTCTAGTTATTGCCAACCTAAATTTAGAAATGTCTAGCGTATCATTCACGTTTTTTTTTATCGATTTCTTTACTCGTGTAATTGTACATGTTTTATTACATAAAATTATATCTTTTTTATGTAATAAGGGTGACAAACGAGCACACATTCCATCAGATGGTAAGTGGATTCTGTGGCCCAAAGACGTTTACATTTATCCTCGATTAGGAATCAAAACGCAGATGCGTAGTCACTCCTGATGACTAAGATAACAACTAAGTGATGTTTTATGATTAAGCACGCTTAGTCTTACAAGTTACAATGTTTCAGTGTTCGGTGAAAATTATTTAGTATTTTATTTTTATTTCGAAGTTAAGAGTGACAAACGAGCACACAATCTATCTGGTGGTAAGTGGATTTTGTGGTATGTGTCTACATCTATATCTATCTTTGATTGAGTGTCTAAATGTGGATACATTGTCAGCTGTGAGTACTAAGATAGAATGCCTCGTTACCGGTAAAAAGGGAATCTGGTTCTTTACACTAACTATGTATTTCACGATGGTATTTTGTAAGAGCGTAATCTTTCCCGACCTATTCGTGCTGCTTCCATAAAATTGCTCCTATGTGGCCCTCCACCTCAGATATATACTGCCTACATGACTATTGTATGCTTCTAGATTTTAATTATAGTATAGAAGATTTTTCATACCTGTCATACTCAGCAAGCAGATTGGGGATCGCAGTAACAGACGTTATGTATTTGTTTTTATAAAATAAGGGTGACAATCGAGCAAACAGCCCACCAGATGGTAAGCGGATGCTGTGCCCCATAGAAATCTACATTTATCCTCGATTAAGAGTCAAAACGCAGATGCGTTGTCACCCTGAGGACTAAGATGGAATGCCTCGTTTCCAGTAAACAAGGGTCTCGAATACGAAACACAGCAGCATTAAGCTGCTATTTTTTGCTGGTATTCTGTGAGAGCGTGGTCCTTCCCCGGTCGAGCCGACCCATTCGTGCTACAACCATAATATAGCAGCAGCGTGGCTCTACCACGTACAAAATGTTTCACTGACACTGCACCCCGTCGCCAGTTTGAGTAATTTACAGGAAAGTAAAATAACAAGATAGTTATAACGCCCTCTGAACAATGTTACAAGATTTTCCTGATTTTAACGTGGTAATTGACGTGTTTTATCCTGGTCGGCTCGTTTCAGGAAAATATCACGCTCTTACAGAACACTAGCAAAAGTAGTAGCATAATTCTGCTTCTTGTTTTTTCTTTATAATAGCATTCCATCACAGTCCACAAATTAAAAAAAACGCATCTCCTTTTCGATTCTATATATTAACTATTAATGGGTCCTTACTTGTACGGTCAAAAACTCACTTCACTCACAAAAACTCACTCACTACTCACTCACTTTGGCGAAATTTACTAAATAAGATATAGTTGGTGAATTTATTATGCCGGCACTTTTTTTCGTTTTTAACATTTACTGATTTTTCAGATTTGTGATTATTTGAGTCCGTCGCATAAATTCACTGTGAAGGAATATTGCGGATTTTTGCTGATGCCACTAATTTTGTTAACGCAAGTGAGGCACTTAAAGTTCCTCGTGCCATTTTCCTTACTGGCAAACGTATGCCTTCTTTTAACATTTATTATTACTTGCTACTATACCTTCAGCGATCTACATGATTTTTCTAAAGTGAAACTAGTATCAAATTTTGTGGAATGGCCGCTATTTTTAAGGTATATTTGATATTTTTTTTACTGTAACTAATATTTAACACTCTTAAATAGCACATTTATACATCTGACTGCTGGTATATAATCTTTTTTTTTATAGAATAGGGTGACAAACGAGCACACAGTCCACCTGATGGTAAGTGGTTGCTGCGGCCCATAGACATCTACATCTATCCTCCATTAAAAATCAAAATGCAGATGCGTTGTCACCCGTGAGGACTGAGATGGAATGCCTCGTTTCCAGTAAAAAGGGTCTCCGGTTCTCTACACTCACCATACGAAATACAGTAGCATTAAGCTACTATTTCACGCTGGTATTCTGTGAGAGCGTGGTCCTTCCCCGGTCAAGCCGACCCATTCGTGCTACAACTATACTACTAATATAACTGCAGCATGGCTCTACCACGTATAAATCTTGAACTCTAATTTTTTTTCTTACAAAAAAACGTTATTCCCACACTAGGATACGCATCTATCTCGTAGAGGCAGATTACGTACATTACTTTCAAGAGGACAAACATCCAGACCTGCGACAAATATTAGTAGGTCATACAAATACTTGTTCCGTGCGGGTTTCCAATCCGCAGCGATCTACGCTGCAGCTCATTGCTAAATCCTTGTGCCGCAAAGCCGTCATTCACATATCTCATTTAGGATAGAGTTCAGTAATAAGCTACTCTTTGGTAGTGAAGTTCAGTAAATATTTTAATGAGTTCAAAAGACAGCTTGACTGCGTCTTTTTACACATTTGTGCATATACTACTTATATACAATACAATAGAATAGAATAATTTTTGTTCAAAATAGATTTATATAGCAAATCTTCTATTTAAATTAAAAATGTCTGGAGTGTTTATAGCAAATGCTACCCCATGTGTGTAATGTACCTCACATAGTATGTGAGGCCGATGTCTAGCCGTGAACGTTTGTGGGCTGATAGAAAGCAAGCTTTACACTTTTTTCAAGGTTATTATGCCTTAAATTTATGACTTATTGTTGCACTTGGCAGCCCCAGCGCTATACGAGTATACTACATATACTTTCACATTTCTGTAAACAATCGAATGATGGATACATTTCTATAAGTAACATTGTAGTCTTTAAACCTGATGATATTGAATTCTAAAATCGCTGCATATTATAATTTGAGCGTGTATGGCGGTGTGATCATCATGCCACAATTACATAATATATAGTCCAGAAGAAATCGGCGCGTGAGTATCGAAAACTATTCCACCTCAATTTTTTATGCGACTCTCTTCAAATTGTTCTACTGATGATATAAATGTACGTTGCAACGGGGCTCGCAATTCCGTGCAATAGAAAAAAAAATGGTTTAAACAATATGGCAGCGAGTTGTTCCATAGCAACATGCATTTATATGATCAGTCAATCTATCAGTCAATCAGATCAATTAGAGAATCGCATAAAAAAATTGAGCTGGAATAGTATTCGATACTCATGCGCCGATTTCTCCTAGACTAATAATAGGCAAATGTGCTGTAGCCTGAATACATCCATTGAATAAATTTTGACCTGAATGAATATAAAAGTGAAACGATTGAAACTCTAACTTTTAAAACTTTTTTTAAGGGGCAAGGGAATTATTTGTAAGGACATATAAGATAAATGTGTACAATATAGATATTGCGCAGGGCACCAAACAACCACACCTCGGATATTGCATTCAGTACCTATGTGCAGATTAATAACAAATGTATAGATATTAAGTTTGTTTTAATGGGATTGACTTGTTAACTAACAAAATCCCTAAATAAAACAAGAATACAAAAAACTTTAATTGTTTATATTGTACTTTGGTCTATGAATAAATTATATCTGATCATTAAAAATCAGCCTTGAAACGATAATAAATTATAACAGTGTCTTTGTTTTAGCACAGCTATATTTGCTATGGAAGGTATCAACGTCGTGATGCCGGTTGAGAACGAGATGAAACGACCAGAACATTTTCTTGGTTGTCCTGGTGTACTTAACATTACAATGATACTGGTGGCTACACTGTATGCCGTAGTTGGAGTTTTTGGTTATTTAAAATATGGTGATGAGGTTAAGGGAAGTGTTACTCTAAATCTACCTCAAGATGAAATGTGAGTAAAGTAATAATGTTTGAATTCAATCACTCATTTATTACGGTCTATCAATGTTTACTGTTGAACATAGGCCTTCCATAGATCGAATATTCGATAGACTGATTCCATAGATTGAGAAAAATGGATTTTGTGTTTGTGTAAACCCTCAAAACAAATACGCATTTGTGAACAGACATTAAATTTTTGGGCCATTTCTATAAAACAAGCTCAACACGTCACCAAAGACATATAGTGTAACTTATAAGAAATGTAATATAATTGTAAGGAAATTTCTGAATAAATTAAATTACTAAGACACGGACATAGAAATTCTAAGATAGTTTGTATTAGTTGTAGGTAACAAATAATTGTTACTTAGTCATTTTATTTACTATATGATATAGTTTAATTATTTAAATTATCTAGTGTCAATTATTATACCCGTTGTGTAGGTGATGATCTGAAACACTGGTACTCAACCTAGTTCAGGCAGGGAGCAAATTTTTATTTTGCAGATTCTTAAGCTACACCTAGTTTTTATTTTATTATAGCATGTAGATTTATTGTTCCATTATTTAATTGTAACCATATTTATTCCCGTATAAACATGCGTGATTGAAAATGAAATAAAATAAATATCAAATCAATCTAATAAAAAAATAGATTACGTAATAAGGAGTATATCTGCCCCAGTTGACAAGCTCAGCAAGTGGGTTGATAGCTGCAGTTTAATCATATTTTAATTATGACTCTTCGTTCTTGGGAAGACGCTGCTGCCCACATCCTGGTTTGCTTCCCTTTTTTACTTCTAACGGCACCTACGCGATAATTTGGAGTAGTGAATATTCTGACACTGTCACTACATTTTGAAATGTTAAAATCAAATACATATTTTAATTATAAGTACCTGGATGAACGAACTTTCCTCGGTATTTTTTTTTTGGAAGTCGTGTGTTTTGGGAATTATATTTAGATATAAATTACACACTGATGAAACATGAATAATATTTTTTGATCATATTGACATAATAATAAAACTTACTGGTTATTTGAATAAAAAATAATGAGTGCAATTAGTTTAATTTAAATTTTCGTGTTTTTAAAAAATACTAACAAATAGGGCTCGAAATAATAGACTTTCTCACAAAGGAAGGGAACTTGAAAAAAAGGAAAAAGTAGGACCGAAGACAAGACGCGAACCAGGGCACCTCGATTTCGCGACCGCCGGATATCCCACATGAGCCAATACGATCATTAATACACTGCCAAAATTTACCTTCTTATATTGTAGTAGTTTTTCATTGCCTAAAACAGGGACAAAACTTGTTGTGTTGTTACTCTGTAAATTGTAATATTATTTAAATTTATGTCCGTTCAAATTCTTAAACTCAAATAACTCGACGTTGGTTCTGTTGGCGCCGGCATTTCTTACCAAAACTTTAATAGTTGATTTCACGTGCTCCCTAGCAAAGTTAATAACTTGATTCACCATGTAACCAACTGAAATTGCTAATTGTAATTTTAAGTGCTGATTTACCACGTGCTTGGCGGTGAAGGAAAATATCGCAAGGAAACCTGCATGTTTGTGAAATAAATAATTAAATTCGAAGATATGTGAAGTTCGCCAACATGCATTAGGGTAGCGTAGCGGACATTTCCTTGCCCTAAACCTCCCTCAGAAATGAGAGGAAACCTGTGACCAGCAGTGGCACCTATACCGGCTGTTACTTTTTGACTTTACTACTACAAATCAGAAGAATACGAGTGTAATATCCTAAATTTTATATTTTATATATCTTGTAGTTCAGTATAAATTTAAATAAACTAGAAAATTATTATTTGAAATAAATAATCATAGATATTCTTAAATTGAGAGGTTATTTAAAAAATAGTAGTGAATTAACCGTAAAATCTCTCTGTAACCATGAAACCACCTTTATTTATAGTATATTATTATGTTTACATTTGTTAATAACCACATTGATATGTTTTCAGTTAATCTAATTAAATTTGAATTATTTTTGTTACAGTCTAGCGTTATCGGCTAAAGTTATGGTTGCAATGGCAGTTTATTTTACATATTGTCTTCAAATGTACGCTCCGATGGACATTATATGGACACGTATAAAGGGTACAATAAAGCAAAAGTTTCACAGCTTGGGGCAAATATTACTAAGGACTTTTAGCGTCGTTTTGACTGGTAAGCAAATATTTCTTTTTTATTTTGTAAATTTTTTTTGGGAAAATGACCACGTCGACCTCACCAAAAAACTTTGTGTTTAGGTAATGTATACATGTTGACGTCGTTACCAGTTTGAAGTACGAGAATACTCTACTGACACTTAATTGAATTGATTATGCCGCTATTTATTGGAGGTCGAAATATTGCCCGTAATTTTTTTTGTAAAATTAAAGTAGCACGCGAACTAGCAGTCTACGTGATGGTTAGTGGGTACTGCAGTCCACGGATACTTGCAGCCAACTTACATAAAACAAGAAAGGCCTTTCTGTTAATAGAGATGCCTTGTTACCACTGTCGATTATAATGCAATGCCTCTTAGATGTTATTAAAACTGTTCTTTATGTCCTTTGGACCGGAAACACAATAGTGTACGCACTGCTACTTTGCGGCTAGAATAGGAAAGAGGATGTTACATATTCAGACGGACTTCTAGGCTTTGGTCCCCACCGGCAATACATGACATTGACAGCTCCGTGGCGCAGTGTTGCAGGTTCGAATCCCACACGGAAAAAGTATTTGAATTGCCTATAAATACCTGTACCGGGTCTGGATGTTTGTCTTTGTGAAATTTATTTAAGTAAACTGCCCCCACGACATAGGAGAGATAACGTTTAAAAAAAAACAATTAAAATGTTATTTGCAATTTTTATTGCTAATTTACCACCAAGGAAATATCCTTACGACGTTTTCCCTCACGCATGTAAAGAATAAATGTATCGTAGATATTGTAATCTGCCAACGAGCACTGGTGCATCGCGACCAATACCAAGTATTGGGACGTATACTCGTAAAGGCTGTAATTTTATGTTAACTTACAAAAGTCGGACTGAAAATATCTTAAACTAGTCTCTGTAATTATGTTATCGTTACCGTCACAGCCTATTAAAGTTAACTACTGACCAAAGGCCTCCCCCATAGAGTGCCTTTTAGGGGGATATTTGCCACAGTTGGCACGCTTGGCGAGCGGGTTGGCAACCACAGTTTTTTTTATTTTTAGTTGGTATTAGGAAGAAGCTGCTGCCCAAGCTCCTGATTTGATTTCCCATGTCGCCTCTTACAATATCCAAGGGTTGATGTAATATCATATGATATATAAATAACTTATTAACTTTAGTTAAATCCTAGTAGTAATGGTATGAACTTTATTTCAGTTGTTATGGCCGTAGCAGTTCCGGACTTAGAACTATTAATTGGCCTCGTTGGCGCTATATTCTTCTCAACTTTAGGACTATTTATTCCTATCATAATTGAGACTGTGCATAAATGGGAACGAGATATGGGAAGGTTTAAGTATATTTTATGGAAAAATACCTTTTTGATGATGTTTTATTTATTAGTATTGTTCTCTGGCTGTTATTCTGCTATAAAAGAAATAATAATAAAGTACAGTTGATTATTCATTTTGAAGTAGTTTCATTTATTTGTATAAAGATAGTGCCTCGCTCAGGTTTTGCAAAAAATTAATTCACCAGTGTGGTTTTATAATGTTTTATAAAAAGAGTCAGTAAACTGAAGGGCCTATAGGCGGGCCAAACAGTTCAAAGAACCGAAAAACGATGGGAAAGAAAGTTTCCTGAGAGCCAGCCTTGTACCGGTAAGCGAAGACGGCCCTTCATGAGATGGAGTAACGACTTGTGATATAATCAGCATTGGACTTGTGTAAAACCGGCTAAGTAACGATTTTTAACCCCCCCCCCCCCCTGACGATGAAACAACGCAAACAATTCTTTACTGTCCTTACATATAATATACATTTTTTATGCGTAACAATTATTTAAAATATTTAAATGATGATTCAAATCACAGCTAAATCCATCAAAAATATTTTTAAAGCTTAAAGGGAATACTCAGTTAAACGTGGTTGAGCAACCCTGTTTAATACTATTCAGTGATTTGTAATGAACTGATTAAATAAAGTAGTTGTCAACCTTTTTATTATACAGAACGTGATTATATATAAGAAGGGTGTGTAATGAACTGATTAAATAAAGTAGTTGTCAACCTTTTTATTATACAGAACGTGATTATATATAAGAAGGGTGTTTGTTGCGATAGAAGTCTATACTTTATGTTTTAGTTCGCAATTTCCACGTGACTTTACTATCGAAGAATTTGAGACTACCGACGATGGGGCTAAAGTCATAGTCGATAAAACTGATTTTTAATCTGCGCCTGTTTCCTACCACCTTTCACCTAAACCAACTCTGAAAACACCTTTGCCAGTCTTGATATGACAGGTCGGAATCGCTTCTTCGTCAGCCACGACTTCTTCGGCACTTGAAAAAAACTTGTCTTTTATTTTTTCTTTGACTCTTGGGGACAAAAGAAATCACAAGGAGCTAAGTCAGAGTTTTAAGGTGTGTGATATAGATTTTCAACACCAGATTCCTCAATAAATGCTTTTGTTCTAAGGTAAGTATGTCAAGAGGCATTATCGTGATGCCACATAATTCCTCGATGCCCGATCTTTGGTCTTCTCTCCCGCACAGCTTGAAAAGGTTTGGGTAATACAACTGTACTATACCATTCAGAGTTGTCTAACCTATAATTTTCCAGCATTGAAGTCGACAAATGTCCGCTCCGCGTAAAAAAACTAGCCACCATTTTTTGCCGACGTTGCGAGGTCTTTGCAGTTTTGTCGGTAACTGTCCTTCTGAGTAGATCCATACCGATCATTGCCTTTTATTTTTCGGATCATATTGAAAGATCAATGTCTCGTCACCGACAGTAACGGTTTGATGCACCGTTTTCTTTTGAAAACGTGTCTACGTTTTCGTAGACACATTTCATGGCACCAATCCACACGAGTCTGTTTTTCGTTTTCGGAAAGCAAACGACGTATCCATCGAAAACAAAGCTTCCTCACTCCAAGATGATGATGTTGATTTTCGATGTTCGTATATGTGATTCGTGAGTCTTCTCGCACCAAAATTTCAGTAGTCCATACATTTTCTGCCGTTACTGCTGTTTGAGAGGCCGGAATTATTGAGAGCGACTTATAACGGATCGGCGCTGTAGCTGCGATTGGGGGTTGTGTATTCCATCGCGTCTACCAAGCCTTTAGCAACATTGGATTCTCGGTAGACTGTCTTTTTTGTACTTTTATAAACCTAACTATTTTAGAAAAGAATTTCAACATTGTAGAAATACGTCTAAAAAGGTAATTTTTCAACACATTACGTGGGTGGTAGAGCTTAGATGGCAACGCTTCCGAAGCGGTAAACTATTATTATCCTGTATATTTAGGTATCCTTGGTCACTGTAAGAGGTTTCAGTCTTGTAGGTATAATATAATTACGTATTATTTATTAACAACTTTCGAAAATTTTTAATAATGTTTGCTACACTAAAAGCTTGGTAGACGTTCACTTTCATTATTTACGTTGCTTCTATATAAACAGACAGAAAAATTTACTTTAAGGAATGGGTGCAACATTTCGGTCACTACCTCCTGGACTAAAACGTCCGGAATATTATGTAAGTTAATAATATACGCAATAAAATCCGTAAAAAATAGTTGCTAAAAATCTTCTCAAGTGATTAGTTAAGTTAAAAAGTTTATTAATTATTATTATTAATAAAATATAAAGGTAAAATTCGAAAAATGATTAAATAAATTTTTGAAAAACCCTCGACTATTACTTTCCTTAGCCCTTCCTACCTTTGTGTACCTATTTGTTTGTCGTAATTAGTTGTTTATTATGACAAAACTCACTACAAATGAACCCACTTTAAAACGACTTTTTTTCATCTTTCGTGACTTACTTTCTTTTAGTCGAGGGTTTTCTAAAAACTCTATTGAATCCTTTTTTGACTACAATTTTTTTGTCCGTCATGGGCTTTTTAATTTTTTTTTAATTTTGCCTTTTCTAGACTTTTGAGAGAATTCCTACGTTACTGTCCCTATATCTATCTTACTTAATATCTCTCTAACTACTCAATATTTACGAGTGGGAGAAATGAGCATGAAACAGTTTCAGTTTCTTCTGGAGATAACTCGAGTTCTTCTAGGGGGAAACTTTGCCTATGGGAAAGCTGTTCTGATATATTCTAACTTACAACTTGTCAACGCGTACAATTTGACTATGTCAACAAAATTCACAATGAAATTGTATGCAATAAATGTATACGAGATTAATCGAAGGTACCAAACAACTATGGACATAAACCTCCACCTGATGCTATTCCAGAGGAACCAAATTACGCAAGAGGTATAGTACCACACATAAAGCTAGATGTGGGCATCAGCGAAGGATTTGTCAATGGCAGCATGGGAGTAATTTGACGGTTAACTAGGTTGCGCCGTCACGGTGCATAAATTGCAAGGCACTCTCTTCTGGACAAAAAAACTTGGACCAAATCTTAGAATCAAAACATTCGTCATAGGGCAAGTTTATGTGACTCTTAGTAGTATAATCGTCGGATGGCGTAGTAATAACTATTCTAAACCCAAGAAAACTCTTCAAAAATGCACATGCATAGCGTTGGAAGAGTTAGAGCGATTGAGAAGCACGTAGCGTGGGTCTTAAATTGAAGAAGTCTTTGATCTAGATCTAAAATTAAGGCATTAATATAGTAATTACTCTAAGAATCAAAATATGCTGTGTGACATCGATAAGCGCATCTAAATCAGTAAAACCGTCCTCGCAAAAAATCTACAAATTGTTTTAACGAACGAAAAATGTTTATTGAAGCGCCTTAATAAAAAAAAAACAGAATGTTTGAGATATTTTTTAACTTATTTTTCTTTAGCTATCTAGCTTTAGCCTATATTACTTATTCTGAACCTTCTCTGCAAATTTTTGTCGGTTATTGCAAAATAACCCTGTATATTACTACAGGGATAAAGTGATATTGACTCTCTTACGAAAATGTTCTGAATTTTTTTTATAGAAGAGGGGGCTAGCGATCATTCGGCACACCTAGTAGTAAGTAACTACCACCGCCCATGAACAACCGCAACACCAGGGGAATTGCAGGTGCGTAGCCAGCTTTTTCGCATCTGTATGGCCGCAGAACACCAGAGGCAAAGGAGTAAGCTCTTTTCTTGAAAGTTCCTAAGGACAGAGAAGTCGTACGAGGATGAAAACTCCTAGTAAAATGCACAGTGATGGACCTGCAAGCGTCCAGATGGTGATGATGGTATCGTAAATTTTGACGCAATGTGCGTTCATGAAATTTGGTGGCTGGAATTAACTCGAACGATTCCTCAGGGCACTCTCCGAGGTAGATTCAATATAAAATGCAAAGGACATCAACATCCCTACGCAGCGCCATTGAATCGTGCTGATCAGAAAGAACTTGGTCATCTATCTTGAGTCGAGTACAGTACAACAACGCATTTAGGGTGGTCCACCCGTCTATGAGTCAGGTAGACCAGAAGATTACCAGCTGATCGACCACGACGAAAACCGTATTGGCGGCATAACTAATAAAAAATAAGCTTGAAATGTTAGAGCACAGTTTGCTGAGGGAGTAGTTTCAACAAATCATCTACCTTTTTAAGTCTAATCCATGTGTAAGTTAACTATCTATTACTCAATATTGCAATAAGTTGAAATAGCACTTAATATACAACACAACCAGTCTACTTAAAAAAGGATAAATATACTTTACTCACTCTGCCTATGAAGAGGTCTCGCTTAAGTAGACGAAACTGTCATTATACGATTTCATCGTTTAACATCCAGATTACTTGACCCTTAGGAGGTATATATGAAGTGTCGCTAATTGCTTAGTTCTGCTATCCTAGTAAATTAATTTTTGAACACAATAACAATGCCATTGAAGCGTAAGCCCCTTGTCCCGCTTCCCACCACACCAATAGCACCCACGCTCAGTAGCGCAGAGCACTTCCTTGGCAACAACAATTTATACGTGGTAGAGTCATGCTGCAGTTATATTAGTAGTATAGTTGTAGCACGAATGGGTCGGCTCGACCGGGGAAGGACCACGCTCTCACAGAAGACCAGCGTAAAATAGTAGCGTAATGCTGCTGTGTTTTGTATGGTGAGTGTAGAGAACCGGAGACCCTTTTTACTGGAAAAGAGGCATTCCATCTTAGTCCTCACGGGTGACAACGCATCTGCATTTTGATTCGTAATCGAGGATAGTTGTAGATGTCTACGCGCCACAGCAACCGCTTACCATCAGGTGGACTGTGTGCTCGTTTGTCACCCTGTCCTATAAAAAAAACCAAATGAAATGAGTTCTATGTATCACAGCGATTCTGCGCCTGATTTAACGACTTTCAGTAATAGGAAAAAAACGAAAGCACCCTGGAGGAGATGACAACATCACGTCCTTGATAAAAGATATGTTCACTATTTTTTTAAAGAACAGGAAACGCGTTTTCATAGCTTACAGAGTACAAGTGTAGATCTGAAACAGCAAAACTATAAGTTAAAACGGAGTTTGGAGCATATTTTAAACAAATATGACGAATTTCTTACAATAGTTGTAAATTTAGAAAAAGAAAAAAAAAAAGAAAACAAAAAGCGTATGGCCTTAATGTAGGACAGATTGGAACCTATGGAGCGTAAAATGCGTGCAGACGTGCATACGCAATATTCCTAAGTCAACGGGAGAAAAAAAAGATTTTTTGTGTAACATTATTGAACAGACCGGAAAAGTCGTTAATATTAATATAGATGACTCCGAATTGGAAGATATTTATAGAGTGGACTCCAAGGGCAGCTTTGGTCCGACTATAGTGGAACTAAACTCGATTATGAGCAAGGAAAATTACTTAAAGCAGTAAAATGTTTTAACGTAAACAAATCAAGAGACGAGAAATGAAATACTTCGCACCTACAACTGTAAAAACGAAAGAAACTAATGTTTATATCGGAAACTTTAACTCAAAAGGATTAAAATTATTTCACCTCGCGAAATCATTCAAAAAGGCACACAATTTTATGTTTTGCTGGACTCTAAAAGGAACTTTTTACCTACGCAAAGATGAGAAATCCAGTCAGATACGAATTTATACTGAAATGAATACTGAAGCCGATTTTAAAAATTTAAGAAAAACTCAATGACTAGAATTAACATTTACTTTTGATATTTATTTTAAATTTTCTGTTCTTTTAGATATTACACAAATATACCTTTACACCGCATACATATTTTTACACTGAAAAAATTGCTATTTTCACAAAAAAACTTTTTTTAATTAATTCAATTAAACATAACATGTAATTTATTGAATTATCACATAAGAAATTATAATATGAAAATGCTTATTTTAAGGATGCAATATTGATTTATACATACCTTGATATTTTGTTAATGTTATGGCTTTCTTCTTTCTTTTTTTCTGCCGTACACAAAAACAGTTAAGAATATATGTATTCATTTAACACATTAAAAAAAATAATTTGCAAATTGTATGTGGTTTTATTTCCTCTAACTCACACGAGTATCGGTAATGCGGGGTCTTTGGAAATCCTCTTACTCCTCGGCCAATGCAGAGATAATAAAACTACATAAAATTTGCAAATTATTTTTTTCATTAAAAATTTTTAAATGTGTTTTTTATGAAAAAAAAAATTATATCTATACCCTTGAATACTGATTCTGATAACACACTTAACGGGAACCACAGGGTTTTTGTTACATGTTGTATAGTTAAAAAATTTAATCTATATAATAGCTATAGTAAGTTTCTAGGGCAGGCGGAAAAAAGTACATTGACCTCAAGTATTATGTTAGCATCGAAACAAAATTACAGTTATTGCTTCCACACATTTCTTTATACATAGATTACGTATCTTTATGCGCTAAGCGTGTCTCATGGTACGGGATAGGGTGAAGGAAGCGGTCATTCAGAGATAATAAACCTGTTTCGACGCGATTTGCGAAAGGTATCACGCCGTGCGTATTTGAGAAAGCGGATGGAGCAGAACTCATTCCTCATTCTGCTTTGGGATGCGCTTGCGTATTGTTTTAATTTTTATTAAGTTTGTTTTGTTAGTTGTATTATTACTTTTTGTATTAAAGTTTTTGTTAATATTTTGTGACGTTTTGTATATTATCACTAGTATGAAATCGGGTCCATCGACATGAAATCTCATAAAAACTTTGCGTCACCACGAAAGAAGCGGAAAGTGTTTCGGAAACCGAAAAAATTATGATTGTAAACATCTACAAAATTTGTAAAAGAAACGTGGTCTAGTGACGTATATCCATCCAAAACGGATATAAAAAAGAAGACTGCCGATATTTTGGGTTATAATAAATGTGCCGGACTTTTCTATGTCTTCATTATCATAAAATGATTCTCAAATAGATACAGATGAATAGTCTTTCAAGTGTCTCTGACAATCTATTATAAGAAGTTTTATGCATGCTTCTAGGGTGGCTGCTTAAGAATGCTTAGCATTAAAAGTTCGTGTTTTTACCTGACTGCCAATAAGTGGTTATGTTTTATACAACTACCTACCTACCTACTTATTAAAGTATTTACCTACTATTAACGTAATAATGAAAATTGTGATTACGATTTATAAATAATAAATTAAAATTAATATTAATTTGCTTTACTTATCTTTCACTCTGATGATGTATCTATAAAAGGATAAGATAATGAACCTAAACAAAAAAGATTGCCTACCCCGATGATATCGTCAAAGGTCAAAGTACTTTTTTCCGCCTGCCCTAGAAACGTACAATACAATTTGGCACGCCTTCTATGCCTTTTAAATTATAAGAAAGTATTAGTACTTATCAGAGCCCTTAGTAATTACATTATTCTCTTTAATCAGAGCCAGATTAAAACGCACATTTGAAGCAATAATTTTATTAAGCAAAACACATAACTTAAATAAGAAGATGGCTATTAACGTAGAAAATTTGACAATTGATATTGATAATATATCTGTAGCAAAATCATACCACTGTAGCACAGAATACTGTAATAAAATGATTCAGAATTTCAGTTTTTCTAAATCTATAAATGAATTAACTCAAAATATATGAAGCATTTTTAAAACCATGGATGGTTTGCTGGCACAATTGGAAAGCTTTACTTTTGAATGTGATATTTTAATTCTAAAGGAATGCTGGTTAACTAGCCACAAACCTCCTCCACTAATTACTACACATGATATTTCTCTTAAAAAACTAAACAAAATTTATGGTATAATGATTTACGTAAAATTTGGAATAGATTGTATTGGATTGTATAGTGGTAGAGACAGATTCGATTGGGGATAACTTTCTTTTCACTAAGGATGCAACCAAGTTTGTAATATTAGCAGCTTATAGATCGCCATCGTTTTATAGTATTGATAGATTTTTAAACACAGTTGAACACGTTTTACAATCCATTAAGTCCAAAAATATATATCTTTTAGTTGATGTCAGAATTGACATCAAACATAATAATGGCGATAAAAACAGTTCATCTTATTTAAATCTTATGGATAAACTGGGTTCTTTACCATGACATACTTATCCATCAGGAGTCAATAATTGTTTGGACCACGCCATGACTAAAACCTCTTTTCCTGCCGAAGTGTTTGTTTTGAATTTAACTGGTTGGTGTTTTGAATTTAATTTAACGGGTTGTATATTTTTATGGTAGGTACCGTATAATAAATAACATTTCTAGTTATGACTAAGAACGCCTTAGCTTGTAATTTATATTCATGCAATAAATATTCATAAAGTAATTGTTTGTTGTTACAGTTGTCATGAAAGCAGGATATACATAATATGCATATTGCTGCTTTGTTATGCAAATTTTCACAATATGTTTCCTGAATATTTAATATATCGAAATGCAAATAAGTGAGTAAACCGTCAAATGTCTTTTGTACGCCGATGATCAAGTCATATTTGCGTCAGTGGCGGCAGAGTTGCAAATGATGGTTAAATTAATGAACTGGTCATTAAAAGAAAGGGGAATGAAAGTAAACGCAAGTAAGATGAAAGTGATGGTTTTCGAAAGAGAAAAAAGTAAAACGTTATGTGAAATAAGAATAGTTGGGTAATAGGGGAGTTGGTTGAGCAAGTGGATGAGTTCGTGTATTTGGATTTAGCAGGAACAGTAGATATGATAAGGATATAAAATGACGAGTCAATGCAGGAAATAGAGTGAATGGGGCTCTACATTATATTATGAAGAATCAGAATGCGTCTAAAAAGGCACGTATGGTAATTCATAATGCTGTGTTATTTCCTACTTTAATGTATGGAAGTGAAAGTTGGGCGTGACAAAAGAAGCACAAAAGTAGAATAAATGCTTAAGATTTTGAGTGAGAATGAGAGGTTCTATAGGTAGCTGTACACATTATCGTAGGAGCCACACGTAAGTGTTAGTAACGATCCAAGAGTAAGTCTTATCCGACATTATTCCGATAATATCCCGGACGTTAGTCTGAACGAGATTAGAATGGCTTTCCAGCACCTTAAAATGGCAAGACCCCAGGCGAGGATGGAATTACAGCGGAGCTTCTGAAAGCAGGTGGAATACCGATACCCAAAGTCCTTCAGAAGCTTTTTAGTTCTGTTCTCCATGGTGACACTACTCCGGAGGCGTGGAGCAAAAGTGCGGTGGTCTTCTTCTTCATAAAAGGCGACAACGTTCTCTTGAAGAAGCACAGACCGATTTCCCTTCTGAGTTGCGTCTACGTGTTTTCGAGAGTCATTACGAATCGTCTCGCATGCAAACTTGACGACTTCCAGCCTCCCGAACAAGCCGGTTTCCGATAACAACTATCGGAGATACATCCTAAAGGATGGCACCGTCGACATCTGTCGAGCTTGTCGCCATCCCGGTGAGTCACTTAGGCATGTTATCTCCGGTTGTTCGGCGCTTTCTAACTCGGAGTACTTGCACAGGCACAACCTAGTAGCGAGAATTCTACATCAGGAGCTCGCTCTGAAATACGGTCTCGTGGATCGGAAATTGCCGTATCGGAAAATGATCGCGCCAGGCTCTATTGGGACCGGGCCATCATCACAGACAGGACTATTCTTGCGAATAAGCCTGATATTGTGCTGATGGACCGGGCACAGTCAAGGATATTTTTGGTCGACATTACCATTCCGTATGACGAGAACCTCGTGAAAGCCGAAACAGACAAGCAAACAAAATATCTGGACCTGGCTCACGAGGTGACCGACATGTGGGGTGGTCTGCCGACCAAAATTATTCCTGTAGTCGTCTCTGCAAACGGGCTAATCCCAGTCAGCCTCTCGGGTCATCTGAGGCGGCTGGGACTACGTGGCGGACCGCTCCAGGTTCAAATGCAGAAGGCGGTGCTCCTCGATACCGCCCGCATCGTCCGCCCGTTTCTTTCCCTTTCCCCCTAACCCTCGGCCGTTTGGTCTCCCCTGCCGAGGGCCTCCATCTGGTTGGGCTTTTATTTATTTATGTACTTTTATATTTATTTTATGTTATTGATATTTATGTATATTTATCTTTTCATTTTCATTTATAATTATATATTTATAGAACCCAACCAGATGAGAAAACTATATAGATACCCCATAATAATAAAAATGCGTAGGGAAGTGACGACCCCATCGCCCGCTGACGTAACAGTTATGTGACAAAATTGCGACATCGGCGCAGTCAGTCAGCATCCTGCCAAGAGGTGTGAGCGCCGTGCCTAGGCAAAATTGTAGATGCAAAGGTCCGTTTGTGCATATGACCCAACCACGAAACGGTGCCGGGCTTGGGCGTCTCCCGTTATTTGGCGCCCATAAAATGGATGATGGAAGAAACACAGAAAGGAACGCGCATAGGGCCGC